GTGAACAACCAAAATAGCAATGTTTATGGCGACATCTTGTTTAGTGTGAGCTGTCGTAGGCTCCCAAATTAAAACCTTACAAACGTAGTAGCCGGAGTAAGGATCGATCCCACGAGGAGTAACTAGTATAACTTTTGTGCTCAATTAAATAGGGGTTTGGAATATATCGAGAGTAAAGATAAAATAAAAGAGAATTTAAATAAACAAGAAAATTTAATTGAACGAATAAAGCAATGAAAATCATATATCGAAAACACTTATAAATAGGAGACCTTGGTTAGTAAAGATCCACCACCGCGAATTCAACACTGATCATTGATTAATAAAGTAATTAATATGCCAATTGAATATTTGTCGTGAAATTATTTCATTTCTGTTTTCCCTTAGTTGTAGGTAAATAAAGCCACAAACGGTTTAATTACCCCTAACTACTAAATAATCTAAGACAAGCGCTATAGATTTAATTTAGTAGCAGCAATAGGAACTAGGAAAACCGACAAACTAAATAACACAAGCACAAGCGGTTGCATTTAATTTAGGAAAATATTCTACCCGAGACCAATTATCACTAAGCCTCAATATTAACCTCAGTTGCTACTGAATATTAGAATAATTTAGCACAACATTATCTAATATAGCAAATAATTATATCAAATAAATAACTAGCAGCCTCCCTAGCAATTAAATGATACAACTATTCAAATAATTTAGAAGAATATTAATACTCAAAATGCATAAAAACATATATATAATAAAGTTAAATAAATAACCTTACAGCGTTATGAAATCCGGGGGCTTCAATTCACTAAACCAATTAGAAATTAACCACAAATGGACATTGATAATAATCTCAACGAATACTATAGAGGAGGAAAGAATGAACATTTTACAATAGAAAACCTTAACTATTTATATATTTTCCCAATCATTTTCTACCACTCATTTTTCCTATTATTTTGCCTTATGCCTGAGTCTTCCACAATTCCAGCCATGTTATTATGATGCATGCCTGTACAAAAAAAGAAAAAACAATTGCAAAGTTTAGATTTATAATATATATATTATATATATAAATATATATAAGTAATTATAATGTAGTACGCATTATATGTATACTATAATGCATTCTATATTATATATATTATATTATAATGTAGTACGCATTATATGTATACTATAATGCATTCTATATTATATATATTATATTATATTATATATATATATATATATATATATATAGTACTAAGTACGTAGTATGTACTCTTATAAATTATATATTATATATATTATATATAGTATAAGAATAGATTATACTATGTATATAAAAAGAACTAATTATTAGATAATATTAAATAATTAATATAAAAATATTATAAAGATGTAACTAAAATATGAGTGTAAAATATGCCCATCATTTAGCTTCTTAGCATTTCTAGGTAGTTTCATCACCAGGAAAAACCACTGATAATCCCCTTTTTTCTCAGACCAAAAGTGACCATTTTACCCCCCAAAAAAATTAATAAACAAATGAATTTGTTTTTCCGGCGAAAATCTACCGGCAAATTAGCCGGAAGGACTTAATGTGTAAAAAAAAAAAGCATACTAAAAGGACTAAATCTGTTACTTTTAAAAGTCACGAACTGAAATTACCATTCTCCCTATAGTCATAGGACCAAAAGTGTAATTTTCTCTATAATAAAGCTATATGGTTTGGGAAATAATTAATGTTACAATTAATGCCACAAACATCCTTTATTAAAAAAAAAAAAAACACAACATTTAAAAAATAAAATAGCTATATATATTATATAATCATATAAAAAATATACTTTTGAAAAATAAAATAGCTATATATTATATAATTATATAAAAAAGTGTTCAATTAGAGTTTAAATTTACACATACAAAATTTGAAATTTATTTTCCAAATGTAATTATCTTAGTTATTATTCGTATTGTGAAAAATATAATATAGATGAAATACAATTAAGAATAAATCAATGTAATTATGTAAATTCTCTCTATAAGTTTATTTGAATATGCACATAATTAGAGATTATATTAACCATACAAAATTATAATTTTGTATTCTATAAAAATAATAAATACTTGACCAATGGAAGCTCAAAAATATTTTTATATTAAATAATTTAAAATATTTTAGTTTTTTTATTTTTTATTTATATCTATAATAACATAATTTTTTTCCCGTGCATCGCGCGGGTGAATTACTAGTTTTAATATAATAACACAAGGATCGAGTGAGTGAGTCATTATAAAACAATTGAAAGACAAAAAAAATGTCATTTTTTATTTTGTCAAAATATAAAATATATTACAAGTAATGCTATATTTCCTAATGACTTCACTTTTTAATTTTCATTACTTTATGTGACAATGGTCCTGTTTGGTAAAATGGCTGTTAGTTGATAGCTGTTAGTTGTTAGCTGATTGTGTTAATTAGAGGGTATAAATAGTTGATAACTTTAGCTGATTGTAGAAAAGTGTTTGGTAAATTAGCTGATAGCTGTTTGGTATAATTTCTTTTCTCAAAAAGCTAATTGAAAAAGTTGTTTGGAGTAGCTTTTTGAATTTTAGCCTTTTGAAGTTGCAAAAAGCTAATTAACCAAACATTTATATTGGTATTTTTAACTAAATCAAACAATTATAGTGGTCAAATAGACCAAAATTGGCCTATATGCCAATTTTTTACCAAATAGGGCCAATATTTGATTAGTTTTTTTTATATTTAATTGTGAAAAATGTCAAATAAGTCTTTAAACTTTACATGATAAGTCAACAAAGTCCTTAAACTTTTAAAAAGTACCAATAGTTATGCTGTGCAACCGAATGTACCATGCGCATGGTGCATACGGTTCAAAACAACGTCGTTTTGATTAAAAACGCGCGTCCCACTTAAAAAAAAAAAATCAGGTTTGACTCTCAGCAATAGCATTATTTTGGATATATAGTTATGAAATTGTGGATATATAGTTATGAAATTGTGGTTATATAGTTATGAATTTATGGATATTTAGTTCATTCATTGTGGATATTTAGTTCAATCATATATTGTGGATATTTAGTTCATTCATTGTGGATTTTTACTTCATTCATTCATTCATTGTGAATTTTTACTTCATTCATTCATTCATTGTGGATTTTTACTTCATTCATTTACTGTGGATATATAGTTATGAAATTGTGGATATATAGTTATGAAATTGTGGTTATATAGTTATGAATTTATGGATATTTAGTTCATTCATTGTGGATATTTAGTTCAATCATATATTGTGGATATTTAGTTCATTCATTGTGGATTTTTACTTCATTCATTCATTCATTGTGGATTTTTACTTCATTCATTCACTGTGGATATATAGTTATGAAATTGTGGTTATATAGTTATGAATTTCTGGATATATAAAAATGCTATTGTCGGGAATCGAACCTGATTTCTTCTTTTAAGTGGGACGCGCGTTTTTTTAACCAAAACGGCGCCGTTTTGCAACCGTATGCACCTTGCAAGGTGCATTCGGTTGCACAGCATAATTTGCGAAAAAGTACAATTACCCTCTTTAACATGTCAAATTGAGACAATAAAGCCCAAGAATTAATAAATAACCTGTTATTACAATTTACAAGTCATTTCAGTTCAGGCTCTAGTCGCCTTCTCCGATGAAGGCAACCTTTCTGGTCACCTTCTTTGGCGAAGGCGACGTTTACTGGTCGCCCTAGCAGGAAAAAGCGACCTTTTGGTTGATGATGATGTTTTCCGGTAATTTTTCTCCAGTCAACGGCAAAAATATAGTCAAATAGTGTAACTTTATTGGTGGTAAATTTGACTTATTTGATCAAAAGTACCATGTTTGAGGATTTAATTGCATTTTTAAAAATTTAGGTGCCTAATTAACTTTTGGTGTAAAATTTAAAGACATATTTGACCTTTTTCCTATTTAATTAGTAAATAATTTCTTTTTCAGACCAATTTATGATAGATAATAAATAATAAAAGAATTATATTTACATCGATGAACATTAAAATGTAAAATTAAGCGAAAAATATTAATCCCACACGCTATCGTTAGGGGCGTTTTGTTAAGGTTATATTATAAGATAACCAAAGTTATATTTGCTTGGTAATATAAGATTCGCAGGTTTGGTTCATGTTATGTAACTTTCCCATGGAATGTCAGATAACATCCGCATTAAGTTTTTAGCTATTGGAAAGGAATGTGAGATACCCTCCAATTTCTTAGGTAATCTCACATTCCCTTGTCTTATTATTAATGTTGGCCTTTTGACGTTTTAATCAATTTATCTTATTATCGTTGTCTTATTTACATATCTTAGTTTTAAACAAACACATGAATGTAACATTCCTAGTAATCTAACATTCTCAACAATCTAACATTCTCTAAGGTAATCTAACATTCCGTGAACCAAACGTCCCTTAGAGTTAATGTCATATGAGTTCTTTGAGTATGTTGGTTTTGCTATGTTTAGTCTTAAACTTTCAAATTGACCACCCGTAGTACTTCGACTTTTAAATTGTTACCATTAGTGGTCCAAGTTAACCACGTATGGCCCTTCAACTATCAAATTTTAATCACTCATAGTCATTCCAAGATGACTACAATTGGTTAAATTTCAAAAGTTGAAGGGCAATGAATGGTTAACTACTTGACTTGGATCACATATAGTAATAATTTGAAAGTCGAAAGCTTATAGGTGATCAATTTGAAAGTTTAAGATAAAACACGACAAATTCACTATATTGGATCCAAGATGATATTACTCGTATATTTATTACCTACTTATATAACAGCAAAAATGGGGGACCAAACGATCCGTAGATGTTTTTAATTATATACGGAGTATTTTTCTTTCTTTCTTTTTGTACACATTTTTTTATTTTAATCATTTTATATTTTTTAGTAGGAAAAAAAAAAACGTGATGTGTAAAAAAACTACCTACTTCCCATTTTCCGATGTTTGATTCACAAATCACAACGGTACACATGTAGAAGCACAGTGAACAACATCCGCGATGCGTTATCGTCTTCTTCGAGCACAAGTCAATTGACTCTGCACAACTAACTCGACCGTTAGGTGAGCCGCGAAGAGTATTTCTTCCCGTCGAAACCGAAGCGAACACTCAGTCTCCGCCGCCGACGACTGCAACGATGATGACGAACATGTACGGGCCCTACACTCTCTTCGACTTGGGACTCACCGATCCCGCCATCATCGAGTCTCTCAACCTTTACAACCATCCGCAGGTTACCGCCGGCGGTTTTCCCGGACTTGGAGCTCTGACGGGGCTATCCTCTGGTAATAGGGATGCGAGTCCACCGAGGCACCGCCACGACGGCACTTCGCCGCTTCCCCTGGGCATGGACTGGAGTCCTCCACCTCGTGTTTGGGTGAGTTACTACCTTTCCAGGACCTAATCGCCCGTAGTTTTATGATTTCTGAGCTTTAAGATACTAGGGATTGATATTAGATGACAGTAAACTGTAGATTATTAGAGTAATTTAGCTTTGCACTGCAATTTTGATGAAGGATTGGAGTGTTTGGACTTTGGGGAATTCGTTTTGATAATAGAAATTCCTTTGCCTTGGAAAAGGACTTTAGAAATTGGCTGAAATATGAACTTTGATATAAATACTCCTTGGAGTTGTGACAATTGCATTTCATTTTCTATATCATTTTATCTCCAATTGTATTAGATTATTTTATGCATCCTTTCTGAACTTCTTGCTTTCTGGTTTTAGTAGTTTGTGAGCAGTTATCCATATGCATACTCCTCAAAAGAAAGAAACATATAGGTAGAGAATTTCATGAGTGAAACCAGATATCTTCTTTGATAGTAGCTTTTTTTTTTAATACAGGATGGACAAAACAGTGTGTGGCCTCATGACTTTCACACAGGATGGAGTTATTGCGTTACAATACCTTCTTGGAAACTATCGTCAGAGTCCAGTGCTTCAGAATCTGTGGTGGTAGGCATACTTGTGAATCTTTATGATTGAAGTGCCTTAAAAAATACTCCATAAATTCATGGGGAAAAGACTGCTTCATAATACCTTTATTTCTCTCACAAATATAATTAAAAAAAATCATTTTTCTTCCAAGAAATTGGGTCTGTGATTTGAAACCTGTCTTGAGTTTGATAAAAGAAGTTCACAGCTGAGTGGAAAGAGTCCAGTTCCCTGTGATATTATCTTTCTTCATAATGAACTTGAAGCATTACTATGAATATATGATGTTCCTTTTCCTTGCATTTGATGGAAGTTATGTGCTTGTATTAATTTTAACAGCTTTACGAGGTTCTTGTCGGAATACAATCACCACAAGGAATTACAACTACAAGGGGAATACAACGAAGATTTAGTGATTTTATAACTCTATCTTATGATGTAAGTTCAGATTTCATGAGTTCTCAAAAGTAATTATCTTGTAATTAGGCATTTCCATTACCCCAAAGAAAAATATTTAATAAACTCCAAGGTGCGTAGCAGTATGCACTAATAGAGTATCTGGAAAATAAAATGCCATGGTCAAGTAATTGTATTATTAATATTCATATGGCTTCACTCTTAAATATATTTCTGAGCGTTATTTGACTAGCTGAAGACTCAGCATTCACTTATTTCAACTGCAGATGTGTTTGACTAAACTTGATATTAAGAGATCTCCAATCTTGTCTTTTCTGCAGCTAAGAAAGGAATTCCCCAACAAGAAGCTGCCACCAGCACCTCGGAGGGGGCTATTGAGGATAAAAAGCAATGACCTACTGGAAGAAGTTAGTACCCTTCTAAATTTACAGTTGATCACTTGATCTCATATAATTTGCAGTGTCAATGCAATTGGAAATTTTGACAAAATTTTGGTGTTATTTTATGTAGTCAAATAACCAGAACATGATAAACTTGCTATGCTTCGCTTCAGTTTAACTCCCTTGGATAGGATACAGAATTTTTATAAAAGAAAAAATAACTTGGGAAACTAAAAATTATTGCAACAGTGGAACTGGTAGCTTTCTTTGAAAATAATTAATACTTGTAGTGTCAGTCTCCATTAGTGCATTACAGTTTGGAATCTAGCTGTTGCCAATTTAGTCTTTTATAGGGAACAGCAAAAGTTTCATATTATTATGTAGCTTTACCTGACCACCTGCTATGACTACCTGTTAGGCTTTTATTTGTGATATGAGAAGGTAAGGCTTATTGGCATTATCCTCCAAATGTGTATGCTACCTGAAAATTATATTTGGGATGTTAGAGTCACTTTCGTTTCCTTCACAGCGTAGGCGCTTATTGGAGGATTGGATGACGGAGGTGCTCTCCGACATTGACTTCTCTAGAAGTCTTTCGGTAGCAATCTTTATTGAGCTAGAAGCAGCAGTAAGGTCATGTAGGTGCCTGCCTCCTCTCTGCCCATAGGATTCTCTTGTATTGTCCTGTACTCACCAAAATTTTGTAGATGTACCTCTGAAAACTCTCTTGATCTGATGATTGCAGCATTTAATGAGTCAAATAATAATGTTCCCGATGAAGGTTCGCCTATCAGTGGCGTAGTTCAATCAGTTGAATTTCCAAATATCCCAAACAATAATTGGACTACTTCTTCACCCGAACTCCCTAATGTTGCTGGAGCTTTAGAAACACTAGATGAACCACCGGACTTGAATATACAATCAACAAAGGTTGGTTTCCCAGTTTTGACCATTACATTTACCTATACTTCTGAGTTTCAAACTTGGCTATACGATAGAGCTGCTATTAAGGCCACTTTTTGCAGGTTAAAGATCTGGAAACTGAAGCTGAAAGTGCAGAACAGAGCAGTGAAGGAAATATGCAGCAACCTGTTTTAACCGAGAAGGAACAGCTTACCAAAATGCTAGGGGATATGGATGAGCTTAGAAGGAAGTGTTTGGAGACAGAGGCAAGCCTAAAGGCTGAACAGGTCTGGTTTCCCAACCACCACCACTTCCCCCCACGCACGGCCAACTTCTCTTCTATCCCATACACACGTTCTGGCATTCACATACTCTGATTTCTTTGAATCTCCTTGTGACTTTATTTATGAAAATTGTTCAGGATAAAAAGCTTCAAGCAGTGTCAGCAAACTGTTTCCTCCTTCAGGAGAATGAAAAATTGCGACAAGAATTGGATGCTGCTCACCAGCAGCTTGAGAACTTGCAAAAACATAAAGAGTCAGACCTGGACTCAAAAACTGATCTAGAACTACTTGTTAAGGAGGTTGAATCTCTTAGAAGTTCAAATTCAGAATTGACTCGGGAGCTCAGCATTTTGACCAAACAGAAGACAGAAGTGGAAGTAATGTCTTACTTCAAACTAAGTTATACAAACTTCGATCTTTATGTCTGAATTAAGGAAAAAAAAAGGAAGAGATTTTTAAAACTTTTTGTTTGCAGTATTTGGCTCAAGTAATGTGCTGCATTATAAGAATAATTTAGACCCTCCACTTATTATTTTCTTCCAGAAGTATCTTTTGCATCACTGTGACATTGAACTCTTGGATTCAACTGTACCTTCCATTTGTTTTTCCTTTACCAACGGTGCTGTTATTTTTTTTTTTTTGAAAAGAACGGTGCTGTTATTTAATTCTGTTTTCTGTACCCATTTTCAGGCAATTTTGCACGAGGAAAGGCAAAGTAGGGAACAAACAGATGCTGTCAACGCTAAGCTGCTGCAACAGTGCATGATTCTTCGCACCAGACTTGAAGAATGCAGTGTTAATTTCCAAATTGACAGTGAAAACAAACTGATCATGGACACACCAACCCCTTCTGATCCCATTGATACATTGGTTACATCGGATAATCGAATAGGCCTTCTCCTTGCAGAAGTGAGCTTTCTGGTCCTTTATTCATACGCACCGTCACAATGTATACATTAACGGAAACTGATTTGAAATGGATCCACTATGGCTTTAACAGGTGGAGCTTCTAGCACAAGATGTTGAAACTTCTGTTGCCACTTCCAATGGTGACAATTCAAGGACAAGAAACACTGAACTTAGAAAAGTTCTTACAGATTTGCTCACTGACAGTGCCAGGTTGAGGAAACAGGTGAATAGCGTAATTCGCTGTGCTCTTTCTCCACCTACGAGATCTGAGAAAGACGAGGAGGAGAGTACCCCAAGGAAAACTGCTCCTCACTCGGAAGAATGAAGTGTTCAAAGACGGAGGAAGCCAAGCCTTGTTATTCCACCAGAGATGTCAGTTTGTCGCATTCCTAGTTTTGAGCTGCAGCCTTCGAGTTTTTAGATTATCAGCTTAAATAAGTTTATGACAAATGATGTTTATACACTATAATTTATGTCTATGGAATTATTCAAGTTCTTGACTTACAGAGAAACACTTCCAACGCCCCCAAGTTGTTCCACTTTGATTGTTTGAGCTTTTGACCAATACTGTTTTCCATAACAAATATCACAAAATCTAGTTTCTGTGTGGGTATTGTCTCTGACAGTATAGTTTGGTGGTGAATTTAGGTAGGGTTGGTCACATTTAAATATGAAAATAAAAACACGCCCAGTGGGACTCGAACCCACAATCGCTTGATTAGAAGTCAAGCGCCTTATCCATTAGGCCATGGGCGCTGAACGTTTAGCATTCTAAATATAATCTACATATTCGCATTCTTATTAAAATTCATTACAATTATTGCAATTGCACTTTTCACGCCGAAGTTATAGCTATAGTATAATAGATTAAGGTATGAGTTAATACCCAAAATCGTCCTCGACTATAGTGGTTTTTCTCAATTTCGTCCTAAACGACTTTGGTGACCTAATATCGTCCCAGACTTTTGTGTTTCGCTCAATTTAGTCCCAGACTTTTGTATTTTTGCTCAATTTAGTCCCTCATTTGTTATTCTGTCCATTTGGTGTTAAATAAATAGACAATTCAGTAATTTTAATATTGGCATCTCTTTACTCATAGACATGTGAACTGCGAAATCCTTTTTTTTTTTTTTTTTTTTTTTTTTTTACGAATTACTCCCAGAATTACTCCTAAAACTGTGAATATAAAATTTGATTTGTAGGTCCGGGAGTAATTCTAGGTGTAATTCGTACAAGAAAGAGGAATTTCGCACTTCACAAGTTGAAAGTAAAGAGAGATCAATATTGACATTACTGAATTGTCCCTTTATTTAACACCAATTTGACGGAATAACAAATGGAGGACTAAATTGAGCGAAACACAAAAGTCTGGGACGATATTAGGTCACCAAAGTCGTTTAGGACGAAATTGAGAAAAACCACTATAGTCTAGGACGATTTTGGGTATTAACTCATTAAGGTATACATGTTAATTTTTTATAAGTGGTGTTTTCAGTTCTTGGCGTTGGAGATCCATTATTTGCTAATTAGAATCCTTGAAAACAAAACATAAGGTTATTTTGGTAATTTTAATCTATTATGCTCTTGTATATCCTCTAATTCAAGGGTCATTGACTGAAATAAGCAGTTTTCATTAGCTTTAAACAAAATGAGAGACTTTTGAAACTTAGACAAAAGAAGTAGAATCTCCTTTGAGACTTGCTGGTAAAAAACACAAGTCCTAAACGATGTTAATTTATTGAAAAGAATTTTTTTTATACTAAAATACGACAAAACGCAAGTGTTATTGCAAATATCACAAACACAAATCTCACTTGCGTCTCTTAAACAAAATAATTAGGTATACGTCAAAATATACAAGTAATACAAATCGAATTTGCGTTTCTCGTATTCCGACCAACAAGAAATACAAGTCATACTAGTTTGTCTAAGCCTCGAATATGATCGCATGCTAAAATAAAGTCGGTATATAAGCGAACTGAATAAGACACAAGTCTTGTTAGCCGGCTCTCATTCAGCCACTTGGTCTTGTTGAGCAATATCAACAACACAAATACCCTAAATGCCACTTGGTGTTGTATTATTGTTCAATAATAACAAGACCCACATTGGTTTCTTGCTATCTTCCCTTCACTACATAAGTAGGCCTTTACACGCCCAATTGGGCGCATCCGTCCCCCACACACAAAGAGGCGCAGTCTACTTTGTTTCTTTTTCTCATTCAATGAACCCCACAAAAGTTTTGGTTTTGCAGGAAGAAACCCACCAAAAAAGTTCCACCTCCCATTTGTTAAAAAATCATTCTTTGATTTATTTTTTTTACTGCAAAAAAGAGTTAATACCATATGGGGTCTTTCGAGTATAGTGTTTTTGCCACATTTAGTCCTAAACTTTTAAATCGATCACCCGTGGTCCTTTGACTTTCAAATTATTATCATCCGTAGTCCAAGCTAACCACCAATGATCCTTCAACTATTAAATTTTAACTACCCATGGTCCTTCCACTATTAAATTTTAACTACCCATGGTCCTTCCAAGAGCTGTATCATAGTGTCATCTTAAAAACCGTGTAAAGATCAAAGCTGATGGGGTTGCTCTGAAAACTCATATGTTGTATCATAGTAAAACAGTATAAGTTCAGTTTTTCTTGCATGTGATTGAGCTCCATAACAAGGCCTAGAGCAACCACATATGTGATTTTTTTGAGATTTTTTCAGATCTAAAAATCAAAGCTTGAGTTTGAAAACAAATGGGAGATGAGGTTTTTTGATGTTTTTTTCTCCTGCAAGTTCAACATTTTTGTAGGGTCCACTGTTGCTGAAATGGAAACAAAGAAATCTGCCTTTCTTCGCATGCTAGAGACGTAGGCGCCCAGCCGAGCGCCTATAGTGCACGCGCTCGCTGGCGCGTCAGACCTGCTATTTTTTTTTTTGCATCAAACATCTTTTTTTGTTTTGTTTTTTTTTTTTTCTTTTTCTTTATCCTTATTCTCTCTCCCTTCTCTCTCCTAGTATCATCTTAAAAATCGTGTAAAGATCAAAGTTGATGGGGTTACTCTACGTGGTTGATGACTTAATGTTTTACTAGATTGGAATGTAAGGAATGATAATTATGAAAATGTGATACTTCTTGGTAAAATAAAACTATATGAACTTTCTAAGACTGCTGCAAAATTTGACAATTCCTAAACTAGCTTACCTAGTTCAAATGGCTTTCTTTAGAGCAATTTCAATTGTTCATTTTAAAAGAAGAAAAAATTAGGAAGGGGTTTTTTAACAAATGGAACGAGTTTTTTTTTTTTTTTTTGGGGGGGGGGGGGGGGGGGGAGGCGGGGATTTTTTTTTAAATTTTTGCAATTTTAAGTTTTTTTTGTGAGGCCTAGTCCTAGACTAACTAACGTACAGGTTGCGTGTTTTGAGCACTGACACACACGTCCGACATGACGCATACACTATACACGCTAGCTAGGCATGTCAATGAGTTCTTTAAAAAAAAAACAAATCAAATTCAGAATTTTTTTTTTCCCCATTTTTCTCTCTCTCCTCTCTCTTAGTTGAGCAAAAAATCCACAAAAAACCAACACTATTGAGGTTGCCTCTTAGCTCAACTTTTAGTAGAACCAAAACCAGTTACAACACCTCATTGAAAGCCATCATCCCCTTTTAGGCACATAATATCAATACTCTCTTCCACAATATTCTCTCACTGCTGCTACGCGCCTACACGAACCTTTATTTAGCATCTATTAAATGGTTACAAGCATCTTCAAAAAAAAAAATGGTTACAAGCAAGGCAGAACATGATTGCAATTTTGCAGGCTTAGAATATGATAAAAGCAGTGTTCAGATAAAAACAAACCTGGGAATTTGATGTAGGCATTTTGGGTTTTTCTCAAACTCCAGGCCTGCAGACAGATATCAGTGACTATTAAGAAAAGAGGTTAGCCTTGGTTCCAATAAAAAACTTGAAAGGATTATAGGCAGTTAGCTTACATAATGCAACTTCTACCACCATGTCTCATAATTGAAGAAAATAATTAGAGGACTACTCACATTTGAAAACTAAATGCAGCCTCAATTTCCACAATTCAATTCTTGAGGACAAGCTACTAGTGTATAAAGTTATGCATTACTATCGCATCAAATATTTCTCTTTTTACCAAAGAAGAATGACAACAAGGCAGAAATCATATTCATCTAAATAAGCATGACATCAAGGTTTCAATAGTAGAGAGAGGATGCAGCTGGGATATCGATACATCTTGAACTCAGCATGTTCATCCCATTACATGAATTTTATTTAAATTCAACTACTAAGAATGCTGCAATCTAAATGTGTGCACAAATGATATTCATTGGCACTCCACAGCTGTCATTCTGTGTTAGAAGATGATAATTCCACCAATTACTACTACCGGTTTCAGAATCCTCAAGATCTAACGCAGTGAAAGGGAAACGTTGAAGGGCGGTTTCTTTCTCGCAATCCTTTGCCTTTTGAATACCAAAATTTTGGCTGTCCTACCCATCCTTTCACAAGTTGAGCCAAATTGAACTCAGGATTAGATATTGCCACCTCCTCCCGCTTCTCTTCCTCAATCTCAAAATAAGTAGTGCGTTGATTGTTAGGACAGGCACTATCATTTTCACCAGCTTCACAGATATTGATCCTGAATTGAAGAATTCATTAAGCCATGCTACTTGCAAATGTTTGTTAAAATCCAGATTCAGAATCTCATGCATATGCTGCTGTATTCAACGTGTAAGAACTGCCATCTGGAATATATAAGCTCTGATCTTACACTGAGTATTGTTCAGGGTGATTGCTCTCACTTTGGGATTGTTGGTTAGCTGTTTCATATTCGGCTGTTTCAATCATCATATTTCGCACAAATTGAAGCTGCAAGTTCCAAAAAGAAGAAGAAGAAGGAGGAGGAGGTGGAAGAGAAAAAGTTCAATAAGTTCCAGAAATAATATAGTTAGGGAAGGCACAGGAGAAAAATAAAAATGACGACACAACTAAAGGCAAGGAGAGCCACCATATATATTGCCCTACTAAACCTATATATGTTCCTTATTAGTCCATACTATGTGCAAGCCAAACCTAGAAATTGATGCAGTCTCCAAGGAGATAATAACATTTAACTCAAATGATTCCAAAATTTGTACAAGATCATAAAGAAAACATCACTCATCTGTTTCCCCTCTATTTGGCTTTTCCTACATACTGCATAGTGATAAGGTAATACATTACTAGGTGTTTTATAACAATCCAGCATACTTAGCATATGGAGGCAAAAAAGTTTTCAGATACAAACTATAGTTGTTACTTCACTTGTTCATTAGAACATACTTCAAAACTGTGAACAACATGCAATAGATTGGGAGAGCATAAATATACAAATCAATCATTTTCTTCTAGATGAAAGTCGTTAGTTCTTGATCCTGAATAACCACAGAAGCAATAACATACAACAGATTTTGCAATATATTTGCTGCCTGTGCCAATGACGCATGTGTATGTATCTCCACCTAGTGATGTTTCGTATAAGAAAAATCTTGCTTGTTCAACTATAAATGGCAATGCAAAGGCGAAGTACACTAAAAAACTGCAAAAGACCAGATTTGTCTAAATGTCAATTAATGCTATAATGTAGAAGACAACACAAGAAGCTCAACATTATTGCTCTAACCTGATCACCATCTCTGATTCCAATGTTTCGAATACAAGCCTTATCATTTGTAAGCTTCTGGGATTCATAGCATAAACAGAAGTGACTCCATACAAGTGGCCTGCCATGTCAACACAACAACATTGAGAACTAGCCACCTACTTCTGCACCTCCATTTTCATCAGAAACCAAATGTTCATTTTCGGTATTTACACCATTTTCATTAAAGTTCATCCTCCTTAATGATGAAGGCACTAAACAGAACCTCTAGATTTAGAATTTAGAAAGTGGAAATTCCCATTAGAAAGTTCAATTACTAATGGTTATATATGGAAGCAACACATCCAGTCATCCAGACCACAGCATCTAAGGCCTTGATTATGCTAACAGATCCAATTTTCAAAACAGGACATCAAATTAGTTTCTATCTAAAATTTTAATCCCTAGACCTTCCAAAAAATTGCAATAACAAACTGCGGATGCTACAGGATCGCCATTAACAAGCTTATAATGACACATATATCCACCGGATGCTATTTCACAACAAAATTGAAATCATTAGCTTTCGTTTATACCACAAAACTTTGACTTCACCCTCGCACGAAAGGTCGAAAACTCGCTCAATAGCCCGTTTCAGTTCCGCCACTGTAGCATTCCTCGCAACATTAACACCTGCACCAACAACCGGAATATACAAATCGACAACATTAGAAGAAAAAAACTCAACAAAAACGGGGAGAAATACGAGAAAAATGAAATGAGTTTTTACAAAAGGAAGAGCCATCCAATTTGAGAACAGTAAGCTGGAGCGGCTGTTCAGGAAGCTTCTGGTAGCGGGCGCTCCGAATGATAAACGCATTGTTGAGCGAAAATGGCGCCCAAACTCTAAAACCGCCACGATTCTGGTACTCAACGCTCGACATCGTCTTCATAAAATAATGCACAAAACAATAAAAAACAATAAACCTTGCTTGCTTGTTGTAGCTTGCTATCTGGATTTTCTGGAGCGTGTATATATGGAGAAGAGAGAGGAGAGGAGAGAGCAGAAGATTACGAGGTGGTGTAAACGTGGCTGAAATCCTTAACAGACGGATCTATCTATAGACCGTATCGGTTGAGTCAAGAAGAAAGAGGCGGTTGCACAAGGCAGTGAAGGCACTTGGTGCCAAGTGTTTCAGACTTTCAGTTGAGTCTTTTAAAACCAGCGTGCCCAGTGACCGTTATGGCCTTTGGAATTACCTTACTACTCCCTCCATCCCTAATTGATTGTTTCATTTATTCTTTTACACTGTTTTTAATACAAATATTACTAATTTTTTAATTTTACCCCTCAAAAATAAGTATTATTTATACAAAATACAATTATACTTAGCTCTAGAAATTTGAAAAGTCAAAATGATAAATTGAAATGTAGAGTGATATTTATATTTAATTTTGGAAAGATGACAAGGCAAACTAAAAATGAAAGTAAGACAGGTAAAATGAGACATGGAGAGTGCATTTTTTCGAGGATAGATTTTGAGTCACACTTGTGTAAGTTGGGTTTGGATTAATATGAAAATATAATACTTATTTTATTCCCAAATATAATATTTATATATAATACTTAATGTGTGTTTGGTTCATAGGTTTACACGTTAGGAATGAAAATCAAAATCATAGTTAATGTTTGGTTGAGAACATTTTAAAACAAAATTATTATATTTAATTACCTTTTTAATTAAAAAAACGAGTATCATTCCATCTTATTGGTAATATGATTTTAAGTTTGGATGAGTGCTTTTAGATTTTTGTTTTAGGGTCCGTTTGGAAAACAGAAAAATGATTTCTGGAAAATGAATCATTTTCTTAAAAACATTTTCCTTTCTTATGTTTGGCTGCACAACGGAAAATTGTATTTTCGTGTTTGGTTTATTTTCTAGAAAATGAAAATAATAGTATATTTTAACATTTTAATTCTTATATACCTATTTATATATATATATATATATATATATATATATATATATATATATATATATATATATATATATATATATATATGTATATACACTAGTAATTCACCCTCGCGATGCACGGGGAAAAAATTATGTTATTATATTATAAATATAAATAAAAAAATAGAAAAAATAAAAATATTTAAATTGTTTAATATAATAATATTTTTGAGCTTCCATTGGTCAAGTATTTATTATTTTTATAGAATACAAAATTACAATTAAAATTTTGTATGGTTAATATAATCTCTAATTATGTACATATTCAAATAAACTTATAGAGAGAATTTACATAATTACATTGATTTATTCTTAATCATATTTCATCTATATTATAATTTTCATAATACGAATAATAACTAAGATAATAACATTTAGAAAGCAAATTTTAAATTTTGTATGAGTAAATTTAAACTCTAATTGAACACAATTTTTTATATGATTATATAATATATTCTTTATGCACATGTCATTTCATAAACCCGAATGTCATGTCGAAGACCACTTTTTATGGAGATAATTCAAATGTATTTTTTTTTCTTTTAAAAGTCCTAAGTTTAGACATCCAGAAAAACATTAAAGACGCATACGATATAACGATATATACATTTATATATATTTAAATTTTTATTTATGACTTAAATGATTTTTTTTTAATTCTAAAGTCCAATAATTGACCCACGGCCCGCAACATTTGCTTTCTTCATCCCTTCTCGCTTCTGCCATTTCTTCCATTTCTTTGAAGCATTTGAGAGGCAGAAGAATTATATGTAGAGGCTTGCATTAATTGCACTGTTTCAGATATCGAATAGGCTTTCATCGAAAATTTAATTAATATTGTAATCCCAAGAACCACCATAAATAACAAAAGCATATCAAATAGACTTTCATTGTAAAGTCTGAGATTTAATTAATATTGCATCGTTTTATATTTTCTATTAATCGGGAATCGGAATCCTTAATCCTAATATCATAACATTTAATAACTCCATTAATTCAATAAATGTAATCCTTTGTTATGGGCGAGAACAAAAATAGCTATTTTATTTTTCAAATGTTGTGCTTTTTTTTCTTTTTATAATAAAAGATGTTGTGGCTATTTTATATTTATAGCTAATAATAATAATAATAATAATAATATTGGTAATTAATTATAACATTAATTATTTCCCAAACCATATAGCTTTATTATATGAAATATATATATATATATATATATATATATATATATATATATATATATATATAGTTTTGTGTAGAATTAAACAAATAAAATTCCGCAGCGCATAAATAGAGGTGGGGCGGCCGAAAATCACTAGCTTTGGTTTTCGCATCAGAAACCATAACTGGTTTCTGATGCGAAACTGGTTTCCTCCTGCTGTGGTGAAGATTTGTTGGTGGAGTTTTCTCCTTTCTGGTGATGGGGAGGCGGAGCTTCATACGAGAGAGGTAAAGTATGGAAAATGACTTCCCCCCCCCCCCCCCCCCCCCCCCCCATTTTCTGGAAGATTGAAGTTATTTTCCATTGTCAGTAAGAGTTTTTTCTTTGACTTCTCATTTTTCTACCTAGTCAAACACTAAAATTATTTTTCGAATTTCCAAACACACCCTTAAACTTTTTTTTTTTTTGTTCATATTCATGTTTTGGATGTTATTATGTGGATACAAGTAGTACTACATTGACTAAATATATGAATTCGGTTAGTCAACATTGCTAATGATCGGCAACTTTGGCATGATAGGATTTTTCATGTGTGGTATGTGTAATTAAAAATATGAATGGATGCCAAGCATCTCCTATATGGGAGGTCATGAGAACGAACCTCAGTGAAGGCGTTGTTGACTTTTGAGAGAGTATGTTTGAACAGATACTACAATGTAATAGAGTCAGTAACATTAAAAAAAAAAAAACTTAGAAAAGAAAGGGCTATTACACCTCATTTGATATATATGTATATGGATGTGTTCAGGTGTGATAGGGAATATACCCCGGGTTCAGGCTCTCCGTACTCTCAGTGCTCCTGCTTGGGTCGGGATCAAACGGTTCGGTTCGGGTTGTCTCGGTCCACGGGTCAAGGTCAACCCGCCAACCCTTGACCTTATAAATAAGGTCTTAGCCATCCAAGTTAGGGGTCTTTTCCCTTGGTCACTCTCTCTCTAGCTTGTAGCTCTCCCTTCTTTCTAAACACATACAAGAACATAATGAATAAAAGAGGTTCATTTGCTATATCTCGGAATTAGTACTATCAAGGTGATAACTGCCCGCCTATAAAAGAATTGAGAATCATTCAGCGTTGTTTACGTGTTCTGATCTAGGGGATGAGAAACACTCCTTTTTTTTTTTTTTTTTTTTCAAATGTGATGGCATTTTCATAAATAATTGAATATCGATGTGTAAGTAACAGTTTCATATAGTGCACATCAGTACATGTCAAATGTATTACAGATGAATGTAAAATGTATTACAGGTGCAAGTAAAATTTACACTGAGTATCAAAACTAAGAGCACCTAACGTTATAACTAGGTGCACCTATAATTATAAGTAGTTGTACCTAGGTGCATGGACGTTAACAATGTAAAATTACATGCACTCATAAGTGAAAGTAGATGCACTTGTAAGTGATTTTACCTGCACTTTTTACATGCAAAGGTACACCAACTACTTGCAATTATAACACATTTACATGTATCAAAGTTCGAGTTATTTACGAAAATGTCACTGCGTCGTTTTTTTAAAATTACATATGATTCGTTGATCTGGACACATGGACAACGCTGAGTGATTCTTATTTATCTCCTAGGCGGCTGTTCGCATGAGAGTGTGCCCTATATATATATGTGTGTGTGTGGGGGGGTGGGGTGGGGGGTATGGCTTTTATGAAAACCATGCCCCAATATAGAATTGTGAACTAACATGGGTCATTGAAATTAAACAATCCACAATTGTGATCAAATAATCATAGTCCTCTAATTATCGTTTCTTAAGACACATGTGAGTAAATATAAGTGATGCAAAAGGCAATTTGGTCACCATGATAGTATCAATTCACGACAAAAATAGCGTAAATATTTCACCACTATCATTTTTCAAACGCATTCACCATTTATAAGTTTTATATTGTTCTACGATACTAACTTTCAACACCTCGAACTGCTCCGACCACCATATTGACATCCTTATGGTAATCGAACATATAACGTATGCAGTCTTTGTAGTACGAGTACTAACCACATGCATTCATTTGATACTCATTGTGCATTCATTTGATACTCATTGTGCATTCGTATTGTTTTGATAATGTATTCTTATACAAAATGTAGTGCATCGATCAATCTCTGGTTGTGCGTCTATTTCGCGAATCTTATTAGCTTTTGCAAACACAACTTGAACAAATAGCATGCCCATGCTATAACAACATGCACAACACCTCCCTCACATAATACATATCTTTACCGCTAGCAATGCACAATTGTACATATGGGAGTGCACACAAGTGTATAACATTTTGTAAGTGCACAACTTAAACCTCTAAACCCTAAACCTTAAATCCCAAAAAATTGACAATATAGTGCATAATCGACGCTCTCGAACCAATGCAAACCCAACGTCCTACGGTGCATCGCACTAAGTGCAACATTGCACATCATCACATTCTACAATGCATCACCCGCGAGAAATATTCGCAATCGGAAAAAAAAATCATAAACGCATACACAAGCAATGATACCCAATGCCATATAAAAATGCACAACCCAAAGTACTACGTTGCACCACACTTTACGCACCAATGCACAACTCAAAAGTCTATGGTGCGCATCTCCTTAAAATCACATATTCGTCAACAACCTAATCAGAAGCATACTCCAATAAAAACGAAGGAAAACGATGACATATCCGGATGAAAAAAGAAGAAGGAAACTACCGGAAAAATGATCAAAATCACGATGTGAATTGTATAAAAAAATCGTACACAAAAAAATAACATGTAAAATTACACCATTATCCCTGCGTATTAAATTATAAAACAATAATCATAAATAAATTTAATCATGGCCATGACATTTTGCCGAACGAAAATTCCATATTAAATCACAGTTTTCACCTAAGGATTAATTTTCATATGAACCGAATTA